TTTTTCTTAAACCGTGTAATGATGGAGTAAAAAGCACCATGATTGGTGGATGCAAGGAACATGAAATATAAAACCACCGGAGCCCTGGCGCTGAATCCAGCAGTACGATGAATGTGGTTTAACAAACACAACCTTCAGCCGAAAAACACACATTTAAAACACGGAAAGACGGACATTTCACGGAGTTTGACGATCTGCATGTTAGTAAAGACAACCAATCATAAAATCGCTCACATCAATGCAAATAACTAAAAGTGCACAATGGTGCTTGCAATAAGTCGCTCTCAGACAAACGTAGAACGGCACTCCTTGTTTGACAGCTAGTAGACCAATAGCAATATTCATCGACCCAGATGCGCTATGTTTCAGCCAATGAAAAATAGAATAATGCGGGTCCAATTAAGGTTAGGCTGTTGTTGCAGGCTTCCACTGCTAAACTTCACCAAATAATAGCTGTTTGTATTTTGGCTGCTGCAGTAGCCATTTTAGGTAAGTAGATCTTTTAACTTTTATTTATTATCTTGTGTTGTATTGATGCGGCTTGCATGGTAAGGCTGCGGTTCCTTAGCCTCGAACTCCGTGCATCCCCCATGAATGAACTCCACGGCTCTTGTGCTTTACAAGGATTAAGAAATTGCACGGAGTTTTTTTTATCCCGTCTCCCACCCCCTCTAATTTTTTATGCATTTTTCTTAACTGTCATGGCGTTTTTTGTGTCCTTGGGAATAAATGCGGTGTGTCGGAGGGTTAGCTAACTGATGCCCCATCCGGGAGTGTGGCTCTCAGGTAGGTGAGGTCGTATTGTGGGGTAGCGGCGATGTCCCTGTGAAGAGTTTAAGGGGGTGTTAACACGTGTAAGGACTGGAATATGTAACATCATTGCAGTGACATTAGAGTTAGCAAGCTAGCTGGCTAGCTTGTATAAATAGGACACATTGCCGTCGATGTGGTTTAGTGGAATTCTAGGGAGGTAGCTGGCTAGCTCGCTAGCTTGTGAGATATATAGACCTTTAGGCAGAAAATAAAGCATTGATAATCTCACAACTTCAATTAAGTACCTTTGATAGCTAGCAGCTAACTAGCTGGGTACCAGGAATCAACGCGATTCTCCACCTTTCTTTAGAATAGCTTTTACTATAAAAGGCAATCGTGCCTGCAGGTGAACGATTTTTTCCGTGTTTTGTAGCAAGCTAGCTACGTTAACGTAAGGCACACGCACAACCTTCGGGTACAACATGCGCCTCTGTAACAAAGGCTCCGGCTAGGCAGGTAAACCACACTACCTAGTTACCTGGGCTCGGGCAGCTGGTTGGCTAGGTCGAGTTCGATGTGCCAGTATTTTGTTAATATTAATTGGAGGGCTAGCTTTAAATCCCCATGATCAGTATTATTTTTTCATATTCCATACGTTTTTTTCGTCTTTTAAAGTCTAAAAGCATTTCCTATACATCCCATAGCAGTCATTCAGTCGTCGACATAATCATATATTTAGCTAATTGGTCATAAGAAAAAGCACACGACATTGCGGTACCTGAGCATACAAGTAAACATTTCCTTCAGTTGTCATTGTCCAGTCTGAAAAGTTTCTGAAAAGTGATTTGGGGTCAGGGCAGTCCCAGCTTCCAGTGGGTCAGTGACTATGCATAAAGACTGACAGGGAAACGGTTGCACTTCAGGTGACCATGCTTGACTTTTCTGATTTCCTTTCTTATGTTTTCTCTCACCCCTCTCTTTATCTGAATTGTCCCTGGCTTGCAGGAGGCTCCGGCCTCTCATTTTTGTGATGAGAAGTTAGGTACCTTCGAGAATAATAAGTACAAATAAGTAAATGTACATAAAATAAGTGGGCATAAAAATAGACATTTTATTCCCGCTTATTACCTGTGTTTGTCTTGTATTTTTATCATGCTGTCTTCGTGGGTTTTATTTGCATTGAGTCAGTCCTGATCAAATCAGATGTAAATAGAGGGCCAAAATTTATCTTGGGTTACCTACTACATTTTATCTTGAGTGAGTTATGATTTTAACACAGGTGACGCTTGTCAAAGATGTGATGTTTGGGAAGATGCGTCCTCGCGCAGTGTATTTTACACATGGTGACTGAAAAAATGTTCTAGGAATGATTTGACATTAAGTTGAACACTGCTGGATTTTGCTATTTGGCAATGGCTGCTGCAGAATCAGTCATCTGATATGGAATATTGGGGGAAGTGTTTTAGCAGTGGAATCTGCAGTATTACATTGTAATTAGAAACAGAAAAAAGAAAGCATGCAACAACTATCTGCTTTTTAGGAAAGTATGGTAATGCTCAGACATCCAGAATACCATGTGATAATGATAGACATTTTTTGCATTCTGGGTTCTGCATATTTTATTTGCCTTCTGTATCTAGTAATTCTCTGCAGCCCTTAGAAAGATATACGTATGCAACATCTTTCACAGTGCTTAAAGCACGAAGGGTTTGAGAACATTTGTGACATTGCAGAACTTAGTTGGGATGTTCTCCATTGTCTTGCAATGGTAAAGGTACTACTTGGAACATGGTAGTCTCCTGACATGTCAGTCAACTTACAGTGCCCCTATTTTCGGTTATGACAAAGTCACAAAATTGATTGTAGGCTTGTTGGGATATCATACAATTTGCAAAATCAGGTCAAAACTTGTTGCATCAAAGACTTTTTGTGAGCTTGTTGTCTAACTGCTTTATGACTTGATAAAGAGTTGATGAACCCAAAGTCAGGGGACATGAATATAGCACCAAAAATTCATAAATTGCCCTCAAGTGATGATCTTGAGGTTTTCCTAATAGCTAACCCTTGATCTGTTTGGGTTCCCAAAATGCAGACTGACAGGACTTGTAGGCTTTTGTCAGTCAGACCCGCTGATCTGCATGTACGGAATTAAGTGGTCTTTCAGTAACAATTCATCCAGAGTTTGTCAGTTGTGAAGGAGATCCCAACCAATCCTTTCAAAGTGTAAGGGAAAGCTAATTCCTCTTTGATACTCTTTCAGCTCTACGATAGATGATCTCAGCCCATGTTGTCATAAACTTAGTCAAAGACACCAAAATGTCTTGAACTAGATCAAACATGGAAATGTGAAGCGTTTTTTTGTCTTTTACCTTTTTGCAGTAAACACAGATGTGTCATTGACTGGACAATGTATACGTATTTGGTTTGTCAGCCATAATGTTGGAGTGTTGGGAACTCATGTCATCAGGCACATTTCAAAATAAAATATTGAACAAAAAAAGTGAAAAAAGGTTCCAGTTTCCTGGGCTTTTTGTATGGTTAATATATAGTACATTTTTGATTTTACTGTACTTCATGTTTTTGACTCTACATTTGATCATTACATTAATGTCTGTAGAATTCAATATTTACCTTGGTATTCTGATGAATCTGTAGTGGGCAAATTCCCCTTGAGGTGTTTCAGTGAGAATTTTGTTGCTCAAATCAAAAAAAAAAAAATTAAATTTATTTGACTCAATTTCACCTGTTGTATTAAATCACAGCCACTTTAGTGTTAAAATGACATGGTAGTACTGCTTGGCTGAGGTCATGTGTCAGGACGCTTGTGTCTCTTTAGGGTTATGTTGTTAATGTTTGACCTTCCACACTTTGGGATTATTTACTTTTTACACAAGGCGTCTGATTGGATCTCAACCTGTCAGTCACACAGGTACTCTGAGCAACTACAGGGAAAGGCAGAAAAAGGCAAGGTGAAATTCAGCTGTGATTGGACCGTGGCACAGACGGGTTATCTTGTAACATGTAGGGAATGCCCTGAGGGTGGGCAGTGAACATCTTATTTGTGATGTAGTAGGCCAAACAAGAACAGGGCAACCTACCTCAGACTGAGAAGTAGCCTAGGTAGAGATTGGTGGGCAGAACATATCCATCCACTTTATGCTGAGATGTGTGTATTTGGTGGAAAAAAAGGCATTGCAACTCCAGTCATGTTTAAGCTCAGTGGTCAGACTGCAGGAACACGGTATTGAAGGCTTGTTGGTGAATGATGCCTGATATGTGAACGTAGTCTGGTAACTAGTGTGTTTTGTATTGAGTTTTAAAAAAAGAATGCCTGTTGAAATCAGTTTGAGTTTTATAAACTTTGGCAACTGTCTAAAGTTTGTTTTAGTTATAGTTCACATTGTTGCCAGGCGTATTACTCTAGGATTAACCATTTTGATATTTTTGTTAAAAATCCAAATTATGCCTGTGGTACTCTGTATATCTCTGACCTGTTGACCATTATGTACGTGGTTAATTACCTTACTGGTTGTGTTTTTTAACCTTATTTAATGTGATTATTTTTCATTTTTGGAGGCACTTGATTATATGTCGAGGACAAGTTTCCCTTTAGGGACAATAATGTTTATTCTATTCTATGTTATTTTAGGTGTTCCTGATGGCAAGTATTTGAGTGTCACTTCTCACCATATTTCATACTCAGATACACTAACATTAGTACTGATGATTAAACAAGTCTTTGTTAGATCTCCAGCTGTTGGTTCAGCATAGATGCTTATGATTGTGACGAGGCGAGCAGACCAGTGGCACCCACCTGTTACCATTGCCTCTTAAGTAGATAGTGTAACAGTCCTACCTGGCAGATCTTCTCCTAGATCGTAATCTAACAGGATGCTGATGTGGCTTTAATGCTATGCCCATACCTTTTTTACTGGCTACCGACAGAGCGTTGGCTGTCCTCCAGTTGGTCGTAGAAGAGCGTCTTTGGGATACGCTAATTTCCCATGTGTACCTGGTGCCTGGATGATCTTTTTTTACCCCGTGTGGACTCTTTTGATGCTGGAGATTTCATGCTCTTGGAGAATCTCCTTTTTCGGGCAGCGCAGACATTACATTATCATCGTCATTTAGCAGATGTTCTTGTCCAGAGCGACTTATGTACGTTACCATTTTTACATGTTATCCATTTATACGGCTGGATATTTACTGAGGCAATTTTGGGTTAAGTACCTTGCCCAAGGGTACAGCAGCAGTGCCCCAGCACAGGACTCGAACCAGCAACCTTTAGGTTACAAGCCCTGCACCTTACCACTATGCTACACTGCTGCCCCATGATTTGTCTGGTCATTTAGATGGCGGCAGTTAGGAGTCCATGACTCGCAACATACAGTAGAGCAGCTTGATCAGCACTGTGGTGTGATAGATGCTGACTGTAGTTTTTAAGATTTACTCCACGGTTGGTCCACGGTTGAAGCTGAAGCTGTCTTCTTGAGGTTCTGAGGCACCATGCTGTGCCTGCATAATCTATCACACAATCTATGGAGAGCGTGCCTTCAAGTCGACAACAATTTTACAGCCTTAAGGGCTGATCGCAAATGCTATCTGAGCTTAGCTGAAACACCACTTCCTTCTTTTAAGCAGATGGTGAGCCAGTGACAAAAAGCAGACTACTGTTTTTCTGAACGTCCTCTGGGGTGTGGAAGTTGTGGGAAATAAGGTTGTGCGCTAGCAGGCGTGAGTTCTTTAATTGCGGATTGAACCTTTGTATATTGAAGAGTCTTACGTCAGTTCAAAACTGCGTAACTGCAATCTTTTAGTAATTTCAGAAGGAATCATATAGCATAGCAAAGACTACCAAAAGGAGAAAATGCTCCAAAAGGCAGCCCTGCTTGGTATCATTGCCAGCCGAGAATGGATTGGACGTGATTTGACGACATGGCCGACTGACTCGTTATGGACAGAGTGTTTACTGATCATTTTTTAGGGACGGCTGAATAGCCTCCAGATGTTTCCCTGCTTACATAATCGGAGGCCTTGGTGATGTCCATGGACACCAGGTAGAAGTTTTTATGTCATGTATACAACATTATAGACATGAAAAGGATTGGCTTGAACCATCCTGGGAATTCTTATGCGCACCAGTCACTGTAAGGGGATATTTGCATTGTGATGAAAAGGCAACCAATGTCTGATTTGGAACTTTTATCATTATGTGTGAGATGTTTCATGCACTTTTTTGCTGTCGTTGCAATTATGTGTATGTGACAGTGTAAGCGCGTGTTTTTTGCATGCCAGTCTGCATTCAGCTGTTGTGATTCAAACTTGTTACTTTGGTAACCCCCCCCCATTCGTAAAGGATTGGCAGGTATATATTAAACCTCTTCTAACGAAGGGCGGGGAATGTTTTTTTTAAGTTGCTGTCCTGTGAAGCAGTAGCCCAAGCAGTTACCTAAAGCTTAACCTTTTACAAATGGTACACTGAAATATTGATCCAATATTTTTAACGATAACGTAAGGCTGGGATGATAAGATCTTTTGTCTTATCATCTAATAAATGTGTCAGCCTTTACCTCCCTCACAGTATCATTGAGTAAAATATTACCAAATAAACTTCCTACTTGTTTCAATTTAATGGCCTAAACTACAAAATGTGTATCACTGTAATCCCTTAAAGCTTAAGGACTCAGTTTCTGGCCTTTTATGAGGCAGTTAAATCAGATGCTATTCAGATTTTGTTTTTTCAATTGGAATTACAGAATGATTTGAGAGCTTTGCTTGATATTGTAAAATGGCATTAACATAACCATTCTGTTATACTAAGAGATAATGACTTTAATTTAATGTACAGTGAAGGGTCCAGCAACAGTTATTTATATATATGTATGGTTACAGTCTTTGGCATTTTGCAGACATTTAGGTCAATTTAATTTTTTTGCGTGCAGCGTTACGTATAGGAAAGTACACTCTAAAAATACAGATTTGTTTCAGATTGCTACGAATTCACACAACTGTTAGTTTTGTTGTTGCATTATAGGACTTGTAGAAGGAGGGCAACTGGAACCAGACATTTCTTCTGGGTGGGTTAAGTGGTGTGATTGATCACTGGTGAGGTGTTGCAGTGCAAGTCATGATGAGCTTCTAATATAGCAGCAGTCTTGGTAGTTCTCTCTTTAATGTGTTATTACAAATAACTGGAAGAAAGACATAATGAGACAGAGCATGTCTATTTTCAGTTTTCCCTATCAGCTTGTTGCCAGCCATCCAAGGGTATTCAGACACTGACAAGGCATCTCAAAGGGTGTGCTGTAAGCTGCTGTCCTAGGCAGCACTTTGTGACCTATGAAGGTGTTTTTTCCCCTGCAAAATTGTCCCTCACCCAAACACTTTATAGCAATTTCAAAATTCAACCTGCTAATTGCACATAAAATCAAATTATTCCTTGCGTTGATGGTGTTCCACAACCTTAGCAGTGTAACGTTTCACTGAATACAAATGTGTGACACCATATGTAGGAAAGGGAGAGAGCGGTCACCCCACCTGGCCTTGAACCCGGGTCTACGGGGTACCAAACCTGCAGCTTGACCGCAACGCCAAAGAGCCAGGCTCGTTGGTATGGCAGTCAGAGCGCATACTCAACCATAGTGATGGCACTCCGTCACAAGCGGACTAAATGGTAAATTTTACCACCTGATTTATAAGACTGAGACAAAACTCAAACTCTTCATGAAATCTGAAGTTATTGATTTTTAATCTTAAAAAATGTAGCTTGAATTAAGTTGTTTTTCAAGTTTAAAAAAGTGTCATGTACAATACTCCAAACGGTTTCTTACTTAGCTTTAACACAGGTAGCCACAAACATCTGAGATGACACTGAATTGATGAGACTATTCCAGTCTGTTAGGATGCAAAAATGATATTTAGGTGGATTTTTCCTTTGGAGAGTCCCATCATTGGCTGGCAGATACATCACATCTTACGCTATGTCTTGGAAAAACGGAGCTTCAACAAAGTCACTTTGGTTATTCAGATAATGGCTGAAGCTTTTCTAGAATGATTAAATCTGGCTTCAGTTTGGACGTTTGCTAGTATAACCAGGAATATCAATGATTTTTGCAAATATTATTAACTAATATCCAGTATTAGTTATTTTTGGTGAAATCATTAATGCATTCAGTAGGCCTGACCAGTTAAAAAAAAAAATAATAAAGAGTATGACAAATCAGATACATTTTGTCAACAAATTGTATGTTATGGACCACAACTGAAATGATGAATGATTAAAAGTTTGGTGTCAAATTCAGGACGAACCTATGCAGGTAGCAAGTGTTTATTTTGGAATGGCTTCTTTTTAAAAATGCATTTCCTGACACCTGAACAGAGTGAAGTATGTGACAGATAACTGTCAGTGGAGTCCTTGGCACTGTTGGGCTTTTATTTACTAGATTTCTGGAAGGAGGAAAAAATGTTGGAACAATAATATTTTGAATATTTTTTGTCTGAAGTTGCCCTATAAGGTAGAGGAGGGAAAATAAGCCTACATGACTGGGAAACTATTGCAAACCATTTAATTAATCAGTTGATTATTGTAATATCATAGCGGGAACATGACATTTTGAATAATTAGTTAAAATGTGTTCATGAATCCGAAAACAAGCATCGTTATAGTGTTGATAATTGTGCACAGGGAATAGGATGTGTGAGCTCAAGCAGAAAGCAAATCTTTTGTGTTTGTAGTTAAAGCAACAAGCCAGATTATAAAAATACAGCAATAACAGATTTTTATGAATTCAAAGATGCATTATTGAGTGAAGCGGGGAAAAATAACAGAGCAATTATCTCCATCCCATTTTCATTTAAACCAGGGTGATCCTGTAATATTATGAACAGTATTAATTAAAAAAAAAAAAAAAAAAACCTTATAGGGAAATCCATGAATGGTTGAGTGGAACCCTATGAAATAACTCTCTGCCCTGTAATGTTTGAGAAAATGAGCATTTCCATAGTGATGGTGATGATATCTATAGACAGCATTTATTCTAAAAAAAAATGTTTGTGATAGGGCCTGTGGGATTCACAGAACTTGAACATCATAAACATTTTTTTTCTTTAGTCAGGTGAAAACATATCAACCTTAAAATTGAATGCCATTTAGATGCTTTGGATTTCTGATCCGCTAAAGAACTTCCTATCCATCCTGTTTTGCTGTTAAGTTTGTATCTGAAGAACATTCATTGCAATCCCTGGCTGCCTGAATCACTCTGGAGCCTGTTGCAAGCTGTCCTACTAGCATACCAACCAGCTGTACTCTATGCTGCATGATTCTACCTTCATCTGCCCTTCAGGTTACCTAGCTAGCTGCCTGGTTAAGTGATCCAAATTCCATTTAGTTGCCAGTAAAAGGGGATTGCACCTATCCAGGAAATTGTAGTCCAGTTCATTAAACCTTGGGATTGTATCATTAGGGACATTTTAAATTAGTTACTCTTAGGGAAAAATAGCATCATAAGGTATATGATGTGTATATGATTTTTGCAGAGGGAGATGGTCCTTAACAAACCTGAACTTCTTCAAGGAGAATATGACATCTGTTAACTAAAATTAGGCTGATTATATTCTGGTTGGATAAAAAAAAAAGAGTTTCTCATAGTAACACATGCTCAGCTAGGTAAAATCAGCAGGAATTTCAAAGCAGATTCAAAACTGGCTTCTGTGCAGGATTCAAAGAGTAGTTCGGAAGTTACCAGAATAATTCCTGAATATGACGTCCAGAGTGACTCAGTTGCCAGGGTGTTCGGTTTGAGCACATGCTGCGCCCTGTGGTGTCATTTCGGCTGTGTCATTTGCCGAAATTGACCGCGACAGCGGCAGAACAAAGCCGATTTGCTCTGCTGCTGTTGTGGTCAGTAGGGGTTGGCAAGTTGGCCAGGGTTTTCTTGCCTGTCCTCCAATGAGGGCCCTCTCCACACTTGCAGTATGGAAAATAGCCATCAGCTGAGTGTGAGTGCATTAGAAGATTGCATTCATCTGGCCTCAGTACTCCTGTGTGAATGCAGTGTTTTTGTTGAGAGGAGCCTAATGTATAATTGGCATATATAGCAAAAAGTATTTGGGTGTCAGGTTTGCCGTTTCCCAAGGTATGGGTCAGCAGTACATACCCTGTGTCTTTGTAATGTATAGTACTGTAACTATGTAACCATAATCTACGTTACCCACACTTAGGCCCTTTTCAAGGTTTTCCTCTTTATGCAACCCTGTTGTGCAATTGCCAGTTGTGGCTCTGCGTTTGTGCAGGAGCACTGCAGAGAGATGATTGCAATGCTCTGATA